CAAACACCGGTTGTGGCAAGGTCCTAGATGGTGAACACTTATTTCATATTTATTTCTGAAATATGAAATAAGGGGAGTAAATAATGAGAGAAATAAAATTTTTAGATGAACTATCCAGCTAAGTAAAAGTACAATTAAGTATATGAAGATTCCAGGTCAACACATTAAATAAATTAACATGTCAATATAAACAAATATAAAAAATAAAATATTTAAAAGTTACATATTTTATATTTTTATTTTATTTTATATTTTAAATATTTAAATTGGCTTTTTACTTTCATAGTTTAACTGTACAAGTGAGAAGGAATATTTAATGAGAAATTTATTAAAAACTAAGAATGTATATATATATATATATATATATATATATATATATATATATATATATATATATATATATATATATATATATATATATATGAATTAAGACTTGTATTGTGAAAAGTGGCCATTATAAGAGAATGCTTTTATAAAGGCAGTTCAGTATTAAATAATGCTGACAACAGTCCCATGGTGCAGAGCATTCAGTAGGGGTTTTGTTACCCTTGAAAACATGCTGGAAGGCAGTAAGAGGTTTTGCACCTCAGTGCTGAGAGAAATCATACAAATTAAAGTATGAATGCATTTTATGAATGCATCTCTGAAGGTAAATTAGTCTCTTGTGAAAATTTTTAAAATGATGTCTAAAAAGGCCATACACATATTGTGTCTAAATTGTTGAAATTCATGACCATTTAAGTCAGTACACAATTCACACTTAAATATAATCAGATAAAATCAAACATTGTGCATATTAAATAGGGGAATAAGTAGCATTTACTAGAGTAAAATACAGTTGGCTAATATATAATCATATATTTAAATCAACCTTATGTCATCTAATGAAAATATAAAATAAAAATGTGCTGGTTTTCCCTGTACAGTACGATAAGGATCCGCTGTTCATCCACTGTGGCTGAGCTTTCACTTTTGTTAGAGAAAGTGAAAGTTTTTGCTTCTCAGCTGAATGAAAAGTTCACATTCTGAAAAGTTGAGCTGTTTTCATCTTCCAGTGGTGCAGACATGCATGAGTGTCACAACACCAGTGCTCTCTGTGAGCTTGCTTGTAATGTAAGATATTTTTTTATAATTAAACTGCCTCTGTCTACTGTGGTTATTGAGGGGAAAAAGCTCTGTTTATGCTGTTCCATCTACTGTAAGAAAGTGAATTTCCATTTTTATTCAGCCTCTCTGTTGTTTTTGCCTCTCATAATGCAAATGTCAGACTGAAAATGTATGCATAGTAGTAAATGTAAAACATCTATAGTCATTTAGCATTTTGGCTTATTTAGAAAACTTATAGTCTGAAATTTGAGACTTTTTATAGAACTTTGTCTAAACCTTTTGTTTAAAAATGCATACCGTAGTGTGTTAATGGATAACATGTTACATTGCAAGTGTATTTAGGAAGCATTAAAGCAGGGGTGTCCAAACTTAGTCCTAAAGGGCCAGTGTCCTGTTGAGTTTAGTTCAAACTTCTTTTAACACACCTGCCAGAAAGTTTCTAGAATCTGTAGCAAGAGTTTGATTAGCTGGTTCAGGTGTGTTTGATTAGGGTTGGAGCTAAACTCTCCAGGACACCGGCCCTCCAGGACAGAGTTTGGACACCCAAGCATTAAAGGGTCTAGAAACATCAAAACACATTTTTTGAGCGGCTGACAGTCATATACATGTCCCACACTGCTAAAAACACTATTAGGACATATATATTTAGCTAACAAGTGAAAACTGATTGGAGACATGGGTCGTCAGTGTTGTGTTTTTAAATGTGCTGCAAAGGAAGTTTTGTTTCTATTTCCCCGATATGAGAGCCCAGCTCCACTCACATGTGTGGATTACAGTGCTCTAACACGGGACTAAAATATGTTTGTAAGAAACATTTTTTTTACCAAAGAGCTTTTCAAATGTGGAAATGGTGAAATCGATGAACTCGTCTTGGTTGCAGTTCATGTTGATCGACCGGTCTCTACAGGTTTGACAAGTGTGGGTTCAATGTTCTTTGTGTTTATTCAGATGGCGAAGTTAGTTAGTATTATCAGCAGTACACTTTCAGTTTTTAAAGACAGACCTCAGTCAAAATGATTTAGTTACTAAGCTTACAGTAATATCACTACCAGAGCTGGGTGTAATACGCTCAACAGCAAAGCGTTACTGTATTCTAGTTACATTTTTGGGGAGCGCAGTAATGTAACGAATTACTAAAGTCAATGTAATTGCATTACTTATATTACAAATATAGTTTTTACAAAAAAAAAAAAAAGCTTAATGGTTACAGGTATCCAGTTTTATTTGTTTCTTCTTTTGTGTAAAAAAAAAGAAAAAAAAAAGTTTGGAACAAGTGGATGAGACAATTTTAAGTATTTTAAGGACAAACTCTTTAAGTCTTTTGAATATGTCAAGCTGCGGTGATCAACCCATTGTAATGTTTTTAATGAATAATAAATTACTGAAAAAGCAGCAGTATATTTTGTATTTTTATAGATATATTTTATGTTTTAAAAGTAACTTAAAAGTAAAGTTATAAGTAATCTAATTGCTTTTTACATCAAGTAATTAGCAATGTAATCAGGTTACAATTTTCCAGTAGTCAGTAATTTGCAATCTATTACTTTTTTTAAGTAACCTATACCCAACACTGATCACTACAATATTATGGACTGAAAGTCTTCCACTTTCACACAGCTTTCAGATCTGCTGAAAATGCTACTCTCCGAGTTTCTATCTCCCTTGAGTCTGTGTTTGTGTTGCTGGTGTCAAAATCAGCTGTTGTGCATGTGCTGAAACTCCCCTTTTCATGCAAACCCTTTCCTCTTTTGCCACTCCCACCGAAACAAACTGGAATCACAAACTTTCCTGACTTTTTTTTTCAAACTAGAGATGTGAAAACACACTGCTGAGATGGTGTGTGTGTGTGTGTGTGGGGGGGGGGGTGTCTAGGCCGTTTAAGGATTGTTAAAATCTTGAAATAAGGTTACAAAGGTCTAAATGATGTCAGCATAATAGAAAATTTGTTTCCACACAGTAAATACAGATATTTTGATTGAAGAATGTAAAGTCAATTTTTTTTTGACAAAATAACATGTACTGATGAATCATTCACAATAAACCAGAAATGTGCATTAAGAAAGTAAAAGGGGTCAAAGATGATTCCTTGTTGACTTTGAACAACATCAACAAGAAAGCAAAGCTGTCAGGCATGGAGGAACAGACTGAGGGGCTGTAAAGCAGCACACACTTGAAGGTTAAATTCAGAGAGGCTGGTCAGACTTGTCCAGCAGAAAGCCTCATTATTACCTTCCTCAAAGATTTATGTGCGGACATGCATAGACTATGACTCGGAGAGTGATAGGTTTCTACTTAAACAGATCAATCCCTCGTTGATATTAAGCAAATAAATCATGCGAATCTTTTTGAAGTTTAAAGTGGATCAAAAATGGCTGTGGGTATATGTGCACTGGCTGACAGTGACATACACTTCAATTAAATTAATACTGAAAAGTCAATCACTGGATTTGTGTAATCTGCCATGGCCACATCTATTGGATTGCGCCCATCCCTTTCAATTAAAGATGAGGATCTTCCCATCACACTGCAGTCATGTCACCTCTCTGCGTTCCCTGGGGCAGGAGATTAATCAAAGTTTGAAAAGACATTATGAAGTACATTATTTCGCTCCCAGTCAAGCAATGTCAGGGCTGCCAAAACCTAAACTGCACAGAATTAGAATGAATCCATCCAGAGGACAAAGGCAAGGAAAGAGAGGGAAGATAAGGAGGAAAACAGAGGAAAAGGATGAGCAAAACGAACAAGACTTTATCATGTTTTAGGGGTATATGCTGCGCATTTGAATTAAAGGGTATGTTTAAAACTCCACAGGGTGTTTGGTTCAGCTCACTGAACTTATGTAAGGCTGTAGGCTTGTAGTTTGAATTGACTTTGATTTCTCCTTAAAAAGCTTCTCTGTGTGTGAGGTGGGAACCAAGCCCGTTTAGAGAACCATGATTGACAGAATGCTGATTACTGTTTCACGACTACATACAATGCAACCAAATATAAATATATTCTTATCATTTTTAGGGCTTAATGTGGGGTACAATATGGGCAAACCCATATTAAATTGTTTAATACTAAATTATTAACTCAAATTTAACAAATAAATTGGGTGTGTCCATATTTTACCCACATATAGGTTGAAGCAAACCCAGCATTCTTAAAGTATAGTAGAATATATGCAAGTAGCAGATTTATTGCCATCTTTATTGGTAAAATTGTTGCACTGACGTGAACAGTGATGGCGAAGTATTCTGTTGCTCATCATCAGCTTGCAATACCGAGCGATTTATACTTTTGTAGAATAGTGCTTTTATTGAACTGCAATATAAGGTAATCGATATGATAGTTCGTCTTATTTTGAATAGACAAGTGCATGAGTAATTAGACAATTTGCCCCTGATCTATTAGTTATAAGATGACTGCAATCATCATACTGCTTATTAAAATGACTTGATTTGTGACTTCAACAAAGCTTCAATTATCTTAAACCCTTCAGAATGATCTAAATATCGGAGCATTCAAATAAATTCTGGTGATAGATTGAGGTTAGTAGTGCTTCCAATGTGTCACATTAAATAATCCTCAATTAGAATGAACGCTAGTGTATCCTAGAAAAGAGACAGATAGATAGATAGATAGATAGATAGATAGATAGATAGATAGATAGATAGATAGATAGATAGATAGATAGATAGATAGATAGATAGATAGATAGATAGATAGATAGATAGATAGATAGATAGATAGATAGATAGATAGATAGATAGATAGATAGATAGATAGATAGATAGATAGATAGATAGATAGATAGATAGATAGATAGATAGATAGATAGATAGATAGATAGATAGATAGATAGATAGATAGGAGTACTTTCACTTTCAGAAGCACATGAGACGCCTTACCTTCTAGACAGCAGGTTCTCCAAAGCCCTGAATGGGTCATGACTTCCTCGTTCTTCCTGCTCGTCTCGTTCTCGTTATTACTTTTGACCCGGCACACTCCTCGAGAGTACAGCCAGTAGTCCGTTCCCACAGCGATAGTCATCAGGCTGAACGCGGCGAAAGCGCCCACTGTGGTGATGAGCATTTGGACTCCTCTGTCACACATCAACATTTTGCCTCATTTCAGGATGGGGGGTTAAAACAGGGTTCTTAGCGCGTCTCGCAAAAAATTGAAAAACCTCCTAGCCTGCCTGGTGCGCGGACTCCATGCTCCAATCGACTTCAGAAGCCCATACCATTATCATGTGTTGATTTCTGGGGTGTCGAGACTGTTGCAGTCGCTGTTGCTGCTTCTCAAGTTCAGCAAGAAGCCTCACAGTGTTTCCATCGCTTACGCGGAGAGCTGTTTGTTTCTCATTGTGGGCTGTGGAAAAACTGTCACAGACGAGCAGTCTCTCATCAGCACCACAGCATTTTTGCAATTGAGGTACTAGGCTGAGAGAACGACACGATGTGACTTCACAAAAACATCTTTGTTTCCCGAAAAAAAAAAACGGCAACAAATCAGCGCTCGCGCACGGTGAATAAGTATGAAAAACAGTGTCCCTCGTTAATCCAACGGAAAACACCTTCGTTCAGTTGATGCATCCGGAATTTTACTGTGAAACACGAGAGAAGAGTAAAATATCCCACTTCATGATCAGCTCGTGTCTCTCCCCCTTCAGATCTGGCGAATATGAACAAGATACATTTGATCATGTGTGGAGCAGCATGTTATGAAGGCACCTATCAAGAAGTGATCGTTTAAACAAACAGAAATCCCAGCACTTGTAATTGCTGTCAACGGTGATGCTGGTCCCCGCAAATGTGTCTTACAGCAATGACAGCTCCCACGTTCCTCCCGAATCCGCTTGTTTGAAACACCGCCCACAGAGGGAGCGGAGCCGAGCGGAGGGAGCGCTGGCTGCTGTCCGCTGCTGCCGCTGCTGCTGAATGGACGGAGACGCGCGTCTAATCTCCGAGTTTCTCCCCGCACAGCGCCCCTGGCTCAACCAATGTGCTACTTAAGGCCTTCATATGCAAAGATATGGGCAAGAAGCGATGCATGAAAAATCGGACCCTGGAGAACAGGAAGGTCCTTAAAGAGCCACAGACAATTCTGATGATTTCCTCCATGGAGACCTTTATATGGGCAATTCTGAAGAGTTTTATAGATCACTGGTTTCACTGGGTTGATGGCAGTACAATTAAAAATTGCACGATTTGCATTGACCTAATTTTCAATACAGTTGGGAACCTCCCTCCCAAAATGCTTCTTGTTCGGATTCTCTTTTCCTTGAGAAAATACTGAATGTGAAATGAACAGTGATAATGGTACATCTTTTAGTGACTCACTAAACATACAGTTTAACCAATAAGGTCTGATTATTTAAGAAACTACTCTATTGAAATTATTTCAGTGATATACAAACAAAAACGGTTAAGAAAGAGAAATTAGAAGGAATCACAGTTGTCGTTGGATTTGATCCATTCAGCATAGACTGCTGCAGCTGTGGCATCAAAAAACAGAAGATTAAAGGGCTGCTTCTAAAAATGGAAAACTTTTGACCATTTCTGGCAACATTTAGGCTTTTCATTTAAATAGCCATATTTTGGATGCCTGAAATGGTTTAAAGATGGATTTCCGTTTCTGGGATTCCGAAAAAGTTTTCTTACTGTTAACAATATTGTTATTGTCTCTGCACATTTGTGGATGTGGATCTACAGTATGTGGATTGCATGTTTATATAGAGGCATATTCATTGACAACTAAAACAACACTGGTGGACTATACAGGGCCATATGTACACACATACTTAATAACCCTTCAACTAACCTGGCATGACCATAAAACAACTTTTTACGCAATTTGTTATGGATATGTGTGGGGAGTTATTGTTTTCAAATTTTGATATTTGTATGCAACTTTGTTCAAAACCAGAAAATAATATATTGCTGTCATGCAAAAAAAAGTTATTATGTTGTTATCATGCAAACTCATTCAAATTCACCACTGGTTCCCTCAAGATTTTCCTTTAGGCTTATAAAATGGGGTTTTTCATTAGTGGCTGAAGTCAGTCTTAGCCTACTGTATATTTTTCGACTGCAACTCAATCAAAATGCAGCTGTGCGCAAGTATGAGCACATCACCCGGGTTTTATCTTCTCTTCACTGGCTGCCTGTACATTTCAGGATTTTAAGTGTCTGAATGGTGTTGCACCTCTTTACCTCTCGGAGCTTTTCTCTCTCTTACACTTACTTTTCGTTCGCTCAGGTCAGCCCACCAGCTTCTCCTGGGTGTACCCTGGACCAATTTAAAGCTCAGAGGGGATTGGGCTTTTGCTATGGCCGCGCCTTAATTTTGGAATGGACTGCCATTGTATATTAGGCAAGCCTCTTCCTTTACTGTTTTTAAATCTCTTCCTAAAACCCACTTGATCAAATTGGCTTTTACAGCATGTTGGAATTTTATGTTTATTTTATGTTTATTTATTTATTATTATTTATTTGTGCTATGCTTAGAATTAAGCCCTATTGTCAGCACTGTGGTCAACTGTGTTGTTTTAAAGTGCATTATAAATAAAATTGAAATTGAAAATTGAATTAGATCTGTAATAAAAATCTAAATGCTCAATAATGCTTGGATATTTACACTCAAAAATATGTTGTTTTAACACAAATATCGATAAAATATAGACAAATGCAACATTTAGATAACATTTTTCATTTAGAAATGTAACCCGATCAGGGATTGAAATTAACTTTTTGGATCACCAGTCACCGTGGCTAGTTTTCAACATTACTTGCCACTCGCCATATTCACTAGCCACAATTTTGTTGTTGGGAAAATATTTTTTATATACATAAATTTGACTTTGGCATGCTTGACTTGATTTATATTTTGTTTTATTTCCACATATGCCTCCTCATTCATTTAACGTTTTTGTATGACCTATAGCTCAATAAGCATGAGCAAATGGGCTGTGGTTATTACTGTCATCTCTCATTGGGCAATCCTTATTGCTTAACATTGCTTTTTAAGAAAACTTCAAATTAAAAATGATTTTTAACCAGCCAAAGTGGCTAGTGGGAGTGACTGTCTAACCCGCCACAACTGAAATCTACCCGCATTTGGCGGGTTGACGGTGTAAATGTCAAGCCCTCAACCCAATGGTTGCATTTTACTCTAATTTGTGCCGAAAAAAAAAAAAATCAAAGTGGCTCTACACATTTTAATGATTGGTTTATCTTTTGGAATGAAGCATCCAAGTATTATCAATTTATGTTTACCACAACTCAAAAGGACTTCAATGTATTTTTACCTTGCTTTACTCAGAATGTGAAAAACCCAACTATACAAATCCAGAAAAATATTCAAGAGCGCCAGTAGTGAATTATCCTCTCAGGTTTGGATGATGTGGCTCCAGCATGAGTTTTCGGTTGGGTTGTAATGCAAATTATTATTATTCAATCATTCTAACGGTTGATAACCTCACCATCACATCACAATAACAAATCACCATCATAACATAAAATCACCCTGACTTAAGCCTGTTTAATATAATCAATAGCAGCTTAGATTATAAGCATTGCAAACATTTATACATTAACAGTCACATTGAATCAAACCTAAACTAAGGAAGTATTTTACTAAAAGTTCTAATATCTGCAATATTTCAAAAAGAATTGAAAACATCTGTGTGTTTTTTGCTGAGGAAAGAATTCAGAGCGATGCTGAATTCTGTGTTGGCCTACAAAATACGTCATCACTGCGTCACTCTATTAGCCTTCAAGGTTGGCCTACTCCGACAAATTAATGTCATGACTAAACAGCTTTATTGCTCACAAATTTGACTTGCCATTTTTATTTATATATTTAGTGACAAAAAAATGCAAGGCTGTACTTAAGTGCACTAGGTCAGGGCACATTTTTGCACATTATTTCAAGTTGTGAAATAAATGAGCAGATGAAAAACGCATGTGTCGCACCTAATCTGACACATCACCTCCTTCACTGTGTGAAGATCAGATCAAAGTCTGCCTCCCACTACAACTCACAGTGGTATATGCTTCCTCCCTTCACTTAGCATGACATATCCATCTTCACTACCCCTAAATATACCGCCTGGAAATGACAATCCTGCTTAACTTCATTCATGATGTTCACTTAGGCTTTTCACGTTACACATGGTTTTAAGATGCGTTTCTGTCAATTAAATCACAAAGTAGATGATGCTAAATATACAGAAGGTGCATAAACTCAGTTTGAGCATGTCCATTTTTGACCACTTCAGATTATCTGATCATTTGGCCCGTTTACACTGAGTGGTATGGTATGGTACGGTTCTGTACGCTTTTATGGCTGTTTCCACTGTCAAAAGGTATTAAAAAGTGTTCTGTACCATACCAGCAAGACATGCAATCTTCTGTTAATTGAAAAAAAAATCATGATTTGTGGGTTTCCATGAGAGCGCCCTCTGGCTTTTGGAGAAGATTTACTACAGACTTCCCTACACTCAAAAAAATCAACTAGGCATGTATTGGATTTACAAAATAAAAATTTGTCAGATTGAAAAGAACAAATCAAGTTTACGTATGTTAAATGATTAATTCATGTTATTTGAAACTGAATCAAGAAATAATCAAATGAATTTGATCAGAACATGTTGATTCAATGAGACTGAGACGCTTCAAATCGACAACTCTCACTCTGGAGAGTCACTTCGCGCATATCAGTAGGTGGCGGTAGTGCGTTTGGATGTCACCATACGAAAACAACAAGAAGAAGTATCACCGCGTGTTTTCGGCACAGTTTGGGAATTGGTTTTCCCAAGAGCTTGAATATTATGCATGTTATGTTGTTGGCTATATGTTTCCTATACATTTTATACTTTTACATTTTGAATAGGAGTACCAAAGTTTAAACTCAATTGGTAAAAAAAAAAATGATGTTAATGTCCTACAGGTATTGCTTGGGGATCAGTTTTTTTAAGAGCCAAGGTAATTTTGTTGGCTAAATGTTTCTTATACATTTTATATTACATATTACAATTTTGGATATTATATAACATTTTTTTTTATCAAAATATTAAAGAAGAAATTTGTTTAAATGTGATTGGTGCCTGCTAAAGGCTATAATAAAAGAAATATATATTGTCCGTAGTGTATGAGTGTGTGTGTGAATGTTTTCCAGATGGGTTGCGGCTGGAAGGGCATCTGCTGCGTAAAAAAAACTTGCTGGATAAGTTGGCAGTTCATTCCGCTGTGGCGACACCAGAATAATAAAGGGACTAAGCCGACAAGAAAATGAATGAATGAATTTAAACAACAATATTGAACAAGAAATTTACTAGCTGATTTAACAAGACATCATTTTGTTAAAGTGAAGCTTTAGTGTTACATTGAGTAAATTAGAATCATTTTAATTAGAATAACACAATACAAACATTTTGAGTCAATTAGTTGCTAAGAAGTTAGACTGACATATTGAAACCATGTTTTATCTACAAATGTGCTTTGTGTTCATACAACATGTTCAAAGCAGTTCAGGTTTACTTGATTGCATTAGATGCATAAAGGGTGCCACGATTAAATAATGTTTATTCAACAGTTTTTTTTTTTTTTTGAGTGTAATAAGATGTGCATAACACCTGTACTGTTACTCAGTCTCAGTTTATCCAGAAGCATGCAGCTCTACTGAATACCAATAATTATTCCATTAATACCAAATGGAAACTGTATTGCTTCTCAGCTGCACACTTGTGATTAGATTACTAACAGCAAGTTAAAACTAGAAACTTTGTCTCTGCATAACATTTAAAACACACAAGTGTGTTTCTTGCTTATTCACCAATGCGATAAACAAGCAGGAAGCACCTTTATCCCCCAACTCCATTATTCCTGCTTTCCTCCGACAGAGCCAGAGTAAGCTTTGAGGATGAAGTTATTTCATGAATAATGCTTTATAATTCAAAAGCTGAGCTACAAATCTCTAGAAGGATAATGACAGATGGTACAAATCGAAGAAGTGTCATCTAAATCGTTGCTGTGATGCAAGAGTCTTTCAACTGACACGGCTTCGCACTGAGACCTACAAATTGCTTTATATCATATTCTAACCAATAATACAATTCCGCAATCAATGTAAATGACATTCCAGTATAAAAAAAAAACAAA